ACTTGCTGTCACATTAGCACCCTTGAGGACCCAGACAATAGAACCAAAGGTACTCATCCCCACATCTTATTTTAGCAAAGACTTGCTTTCCCTGGTCACTAGTTTCCCTGGAACTGGCTTCCCCCACCATGGTTTCTGGTTCTTGATGGAACTGGCCATGGTGGTGGACACTGTGGGGTTTGAAGACATCTCTAGTTCTTTGAAAACCTAACAATCCTGTTAGAAAATATGTTTATTATATTGATCCAAGGTTTTATTTTGTGTTGTGGTGAGGGGACTCAATTAGATCTGGAACCATACACTCTCCTGCAACCATGTTGGATACTGAAATACTCAATTAGAAATGGAACCATACACTCCTACATCCATGCTGGATACTGAAATATTCAATTAGAACTAGAACCATACACTCTCCTATATTCATGCCTGATGCTGAAAAACTCAATTAGAACTGGAACTGTACATTCCTGCATGAACGAACACATCATGGTTGATAGTTGAACAAGCAGCAGCTATTATTGTAATTGGTTTTTAATAAGTACATGTGATTATTTGAGTATTTATCTTATTTATTGCTTTAAGCATATGTAACTATCTTTTCCCATATTCATATGTAGAGAAATGTGGAGGAAACTATTCAGATACTAAGTAGTCATGTAGAGTTTCCCTGCTTTCTGTATAACCAGTTGACCAAAAGAACTCAGGATTGTAGATTATTATTCAATTTCCCCCAAACTCCTAAAATCTGAATAATCATGGGTGCTACAATGCTTGTAGACTGTGTGGATTGTGAGTATTTATTTGCTTGCTGTGACAAAACTGTCTTTTTGATATGGGAAAACATGCATGTGGTACCGAACCCTAAACTACAAAGAAGAAAACCAGCAAAACAGTTCCCTCCTTGCTGTTCTCAGTGCTGCAGGGATCCAGTCAGTGAAAAGGGTTACAGTTTCTGATCCCTCAGGTACTTTCCATGCATATTGATTACTCATACCTAGTGGGTTTTTTTTTATGTTTGAATGATTCAGAAGTAGTTGTGTTCCTTAAGAGAAGTATTTTAAATACTTCAAAATATGAGATACTAGAATACTGATTCTTAGCCATCGTGGGATACATGTCTGCACAGATGCATGCTTGCTTGTGTGTGTCTTTGCACATTTGTGAGGGTATGTGTATCTTAAGTAGATAGATAAATCAACATTGTGAGCTGCTGACAGATATTTCCTTTTATTATTTGAGGCCATGATGAAAATACAAACTATAGCTAGAACCAGGACAAGCTAATGTCATGGTTTAGTGTGTTTCTGATACTTTTTAGATGATATGTCAACTGAGGAAGCATAAACCCCAATTCTGTAAAGAAATGATTTCTTATCATTTAAAAGCAAATTGTGTCTCATCTATTCAGGAGGCCATCAGGGAAATGTGAATTACTGAGAAAGTAGACTTAATGCTTCAAAATTGTATTGCATCTTTTTCTAAAATCCACAATTGTATATAATACTAGAACAGTGTAAAAATTATGAAAATAGAATATTCGAGGTTTGTGAGTGGAGAATGACAAGGAAAAATATCTCCCAGAATATATAAAAATAAATGGAAAAAATCACTAAAGAATATTAGTAGAGGAAATTATGTTCCATTAACAGGAGAGGAGAGCTGCCTTAATTAATAAATTTATTCCTTCTACAGTATTTCATTTTTAACAGTTTAGTGAAGGTAGGATGTGATAATGGGAATAATAGTCCTCATGGCTGTGCAATTGTGCGTGCTTTGTGATTTTTATAGTATAATGAATTCTAAAGACATTTATCACACAGGAACAAAACCCCTGAATCCTCAACAAACTTTGCGGTGATAAAAGTTAATGCATACGTTGAAAATATCCAAGAGCCATAGTAAGATATGAAATAAAACATAAGATTTGCATTTGTAACACATCTTAGAGCTTGCCTTTAAAATTTTGGGGAGACTCAGAATAGTATTATGTGAAACACAGCAGCAGCCTCTGAAGTTTCAAAGGGCTGGAAGACAGAGCAGGAGGCTCTGGGTTCAGTTTCCACTTTGATAATTGGAGGTCTGCTCTGTAAAGGTTAGAATGGAATCAAGGTATTTTTTGATGAGAATAAGAGAAAGAAAAGAAAAAGGCAAAGCACTGCCTCCAACCATGGGGCTGGTGTTTAGGCCTTATCCAGAGACCTTCCTCTTCTGAGAGAAAAATCAGCAGTCAGCTATGAGTGTGTAGAGCCACCATCGATGACAAAGCAGGTGGGGTCATTCAAAGTGTCAGTAGGGCACAAGAAAGGCAGGCAGACGGTAAACGCCAGTGTGAAGGAAAGACTTCTGGGGTTTGTGAATAGTTTAGACTCTAAGCAAATCTGGTGTTCCTCCCCTGGCTCTTGTCCTGCATTCTCCATTTATGTAGCAAATGTCCGTCATATACAAATTGTGTCAGCCTTCTGGGGAGCCCAAAAATCCTACACAGAAGCAGAGTGTAGCTCTTGAAAACCCCAAATCCGTGTGAGGGTCAGAAATGGTCTCATAAAAGTCATTGCTTTCACATTGACTGAAAAGGGAGTCTGCTTTGATTTCATAGGATGCTTCTGAAGACTGTCCCAATCTCACATCTTACAGTGTGCCTGCTCTCACTGCTCTGGTTCAGAATCAACCTTAAGTGGCTTTCTTGTTGATTTGCAATCACATCGGGACATCCCAGCACTTTGTGTTAGGGCAGTTTGGATTTCCACATAATCTTTTAAAGATGGAATGTTCTTTATACATGGAATGTTAGACTTTAGAGAATTGGTTTGAAATAGTCCTAGAATTTTACTCATTTTCCCTGCCCTGCCCCTCTCCCCCAGACAACAGGGAGAGAAAACCAAGTATAACACTTGGGACTAAACCATAAAATTAAGTCACACCAGGAAACAAAAACAAAAGGAAAAAACAGAGAAAGATCTGAGTGCATACACAAACCACAGCCTCTGTGAACTCACATAAAAATAAGCAGGGACAGGCACTGTGGCAGTTTCAGAGTGGGGCATTATTCACAGGAAAACAGCGAGATTCACTACGGAGGACATTATTCTTCAGAGAGTGACAGGGTCTCATTCACAGCACCAGGACTGATGGTGCATGCACAGCCAGCTTGCCAAGCAGCACAGCACTGGGATGCAGGTCCCCAACGGTGAACTGAGATCATTGCTGAGGACACTCAGAGATCACATAAGGGACACTCTGTTTGCTCTCTGGGAGATGCAGTTCATCTGCACTAATTGCAGGCTTGGGAGCCTGGAGAAGGCAGCTCTGTGCCCACATACTGTATTCCCTTTGTTGGGGAGCTCTCATGGGCCGCTCCTCTAGGCATTGTGTGTGTGTACTAACAGAGAGCCTTTAAAATATATGTGCATTTCTAATTCTTTGCACTGGACTTACTCATAGCTGCTGAGAGGAAGCCAGTAGATAATAGTGAATCACTTTCTGGAAAACTTTAGCAGACAACTTATGTAAGAAAAGAAGTGCAAAAAATCCAACTACTGTAAGTTCCTAGGACTTCACTTTTCTGAAGAATCCAATCTTTGGATTATAACTACTTATTTATTAACAGTCTGTCTTTTTAGTGTTTTCAAAATTTGGGAGATCAGATGCTTTCGTCCATAAAAATGTATACTTGAAAGTAGACTGTGGTGTACTTTTCTTTATATTATAGAAAGACTAGAAGATGAAGCCAGACACAGAGGCCCACACACCTAGAATCCCAGCACTAGGCAGGTAAGAAGAGTAGTTTGTGAATTTGATGCTCTTCTGTGACTCAGAGTGAGTTCCAGACCATCCTGGGCTAGGTAGCGATACCCTTTCTCAAAAACAAAATAAACATACCAAAAAAAAAAAAAAAACAAAAAAAAAACCAAAAAAACCCAGACAAATGAAAGGAGTAATAACAGCATAAATTAAAACTGGGAAAAGAGTGTTGTTAAAGACATTGGTTAGTATAAAGCAATAATGAAAATTTATAGTCAAGACAGTACAGATTTGACAGGCTCTAGATGGTTGTTGCAACTGACGAAAACACAAAGGTTAAGAACCTGAAGTATTTAAAGATACAGGTCCCAATGGTGATTTTGATTGCCAACTTGTATTAAGATTCACAAAGAAGATAAGTAAAGCAGAACTCAGGAAGTATCTATTGGTAAAAACTAGTTCTACTCTTAAAACTATATTCCATATGTCTACAAACAATAAACCTAATTTGGCTGCTTATAAGCTTTACTAAAATGAACTATTTTCTCTTTGCAAATTTAGTATTTTGAACAGACATTCCAAAGTTAGACCTAACAATCTGAATATGGGAATTCTGTTCTAAGGGGTAGGAATATAGCTCAGCAGTGGGGTCCTCGCCTAGCATGCACAAGGTCTGGTGCCATATTCCTTGAACTTCAAAAAACCAACAGTAACAAAAAAATCTCTTTCTAAAGGTAATTGTTCATATAAGTCTGAATACACACACACACACACACACACACACACACACACACACACACACACACACATTTACTCAAACTTAGCACACCAAATGGGACTGAGGAGATGGCTGAGTAAGTAAACTGTTGCTATGGAAGCAGAATGACCTGGGATCCCCAGTACCCATATAAAATCTGGGTATGGCGAGATGCATCTACAACCCAATATTTAGGTTAACAGAGACAGGAGGATCTGGTGGGGCTCTCTGACCAGCTAGACTAGCCAAATCAGTGATGTCTAAGTGAGAGACCTTGGCTCAAAAGATAAGGTGAAGAGCAATGTAGGAAATCATCAATATTGACCTAGGATTTCCATACAGGAAAACGTGTGCAATTGTACCCCTCACCCACTCATAAGTGCATACACACACGTGTGTGTACACACACATAAGCGATAACTTGTAAAACACACCATTTTTTTAAAGAAATATAAAATTATAACAGAAAGCTGATAATCACATGAAGGATATAAAGACTGACCTGGTGTTATGACTTCGCCGTTTCCATTGACCACAGGCCTTTCCTCCTCCTCCTCCTCTGGAGGCTCTATACTTGCTTTCTCCATGTTGCTCACTGATTTATTTCTCTTCCGTTTCCCTTCAGCACTTGGAGTAGCTCCCGGAAGTATCTGGTCTGTTACATTTAATAATAATGGTGCTGGTTCCGCTGGAGGCTTTGGGGTACCGTAGTAGTTGTCTGCAAAAGATACCCAGATATTCTAGAGTTAAATTGTTCCCCTATATGTGTGTGTATTTTAAAGAATGGAAATTACATCAATTTGTATTATATTTATCCATCAACACATTGCACATATATGGTTTTATAAACACATATTATATATATTTATTTCTATTTTACTGTGCTTTAATCCATAAGATAAAGGCCTATATTACTATCATCTTTGAGTGCTTTAATGTACTGGGCTTTCAAACTAGAGATGTGTGCATCATTTTCATATGGCAAATTGTTAATTTCAAATCTACTTAAGCCAACTTCACACTAAGTCTTCAAATCTATTTAAGCCTTAAAAAAAGTTAGTGCTAAGGAATATAGGTAATTTTTGGTTTTGTTTATATTTTCAAGTCTCGCATCATTCTGGAAAGGCAAAGGATGCTTAGCTTCCCTCTCACTTCAGGAGGGCTCTGGCTGGTGTTGTGCACAGAGCTGTACCTCCATGCCAGTCCGTAGCTCCTGAAGCTATGGGCGATGACGTGCTCCTCTCATTATCCTTTAGATTATAATTGCCCTTTTCTCACAGCAACGCTACCTGAGCTGTTGGGTAACTCTCCCTTGCCCCTTCCCTCCTGTGAGAGTTCATTAAGAAAGAAAAAAATTCTTATTTTTTTCAGCCTATAACATGTTTTATTTTTTAACATGTTATTTAATATTTATACATGCATATAATGTGTTTGGATCATAGCCACACCCAATTTATTCCCTCAAAATCCTACTTATCTCTATAACAAGAGGCTGGCATATAACAGACATGTATAAAATATCTGTTAAATAACAGAGTTGTATATTTGCCTTTGCATGTTCAAGGCAAATCATTTTATTTAAAGTGTTCAAGAATGTGATTGGCAAAGAACATAAGTGTTACTTTGAGAAATCATTTTCAGATTTCAGCTCCAATTTCACACCTGTGTTTGTGTGTTTAGTTAAGTGAGTAATTGATGGGTTCCTGTATCCATTAATAAGGTCTTTATTGGCACTGACTGTGCACCCAAGCATTCCAATGCAAGTGTGAGAAACTGTGATGATTATAATAAGATCTTTATCTTACAAAAAGATAATAATTTAGTATGGAAGATCAAATTTGGCATCAAGTAGGCAAGCATTGTAATGGAAAATGGGACCAAGTCCTGTAAGGAGACAGAAGAGAAATGGAGTACAACTGCCTATCTTCATAGGTTACTGAGATCATCTAGGAAAGCAGCCTGTTGTGCAGAAACAGCTCTTAAAGTCAAAGACATAGTGTCTAAATGAGTCTTTCTGGATAATGGTAATTGAAGCAAATTACTGAACTTCAATAAGGCTCAATTCCTTTATGTGTAGACAGGGAACAGTAGTCACTTGTGTTATGGCTTGTAAACAACCCAAACCTATTCCACTTAAATTAAAACATGATTAGTGTGAGAACGTTAAAAAGATATGGGATGGCTATTTGACAGGGAATGCTCAAAAATGTTTAGAAAATGAGTGGAAACAAAGGAGTCAGAAAGGAGTCAAGTGAGGACACAGTGTTGACTTTTTTTTTTTAAAGACAGGGTCTGAGGCTGGACTCTACTCGATACATAGTTAAGACTAGTCTCAACTCCTGGTTGTCCTGCTTTCACGTTCAAGGTGCTGGGACTATAGGCATGTACCATACACCCTGTAATAGGTGGTTTCTTTGTTGAGCAATAGAATCTGCACACAAATTGTCTCTAGGTGAATGAATTTCAAACCCTGCTTGGCTGCTTTGATTTGCTCAAGTCCAGTGAACACAACCAGCAGGATTGTTATTGGCTAAGCCTCAATCATGGGAATATGAGTCAGCTGTCAAGGTATACAAAATATCTGCTCTACTTTGATTTCAGAAGAGGGAGGTGGTAATGATTGCCAACTGGAATGGATTTAAAAATGACTTGTAGATTAGGGTGGGGTGATTGACTTGTGAACAACTGAAGGGAAAGACTTGACCTCAAAGTAGGTGTTGATCAGTAAGCTTGGGGCTGAGGTACATAAAAGTGGAAAAAAAGAGGAAGCCAGAAGTCATGGCTCCAGGTTTCCTGGGTGAGTACCCATATGGCTGCTGCTGTCATCTGTAGACATTACACTCCAGAATCATCAGACTTTTCATGTCCACCCCACATTGCTCCTAAGGCTTCCACTTAGAACTGGGATTCCCATTGGTTTCCTTGTTCTGCAGCTTCTAGCTTCTTGGACTCATCAGCTATTGAGTTTCTGGATCTCCAGCCTACAGATTAGTTTCTAGCTGTAAAAGTCTGTCTAATAAATCGTCTTTTATAATAATGTATATACTCTATTGGCTCAATTCCTTTAGCTAAGTTGAATGTAGAGGTGGAGCCCTTCCTTCAACCCATCTTATCTCTGTAGTCTCCCCAGACAGTAATACCCTTGAGATGTCGAGTAGGCTGAAACAACACATGCTCTGTCTACAGGTCCTCCATTTTGGGTTGTTGCTAAGATAAAGCTGGTGTATATGGAAAGAATGCCATAAGCTGTAAAACTGTGCTGGATGTAATGGTGATGAAACCTCATGCTGGAATTAATTGACCAGCCATGCCATTAATGCAAGTTAATGTTCATACTTGCAGATACTCAGACACTTCACAAAAATTTTACTTTGTAAAGTGGACTTTAAGCAGATATTTTAAAAGATAATATACATTTTCCTAAGGATTACTTTTAATTTGATTCACAGAATTTCAAATAAATTAAAACTTTATATATGGAGACCGAACAAAAAAGACTAATTGTTGTGCATACTCAATGAACATATATTTCTTCATTCTTAAGGGGTAGCAAAACTCTAAGCACATCATTACACTTTCTGGGAAATCTCAATTTATACTTATATAATGGATATAATGCCAAAATAGTAAATAGCTCCTACCTACCTCAATGAACAATATGAGTTTAAATAGCATCTGCAATGGTTGATACTCTTAGATATACACAGTACTAAGAAAAATATACCAAATTTCAATATTTTTCTCCATGTATTTTTATGTTATAATATTCCTAGGTAAATTACCTCTTAGTAATTAGAAATAAATGCATAGACAGGCTAAAATAAATATTAAATAACAGATCTTGCTGAATCAATATTATTAAATAATTACATCTATTGGTATGGCATGATTATAAATTACATAGTAATAGTCTTTTACTATAATTAGTTTTATGAAATTATATGTGAGTTGAAATGCTAGATGTGAAACTGTATAAATCATTAGTTAAGATGTTAAGATTATCATCATTAGAAAAATGCCAGTTTGTAAAATGTAAGAAAATAATCTATATATTTACTGCACTAGAAAAATATAATTAATGGAGAAGAAGCTATGATACCAAAGTAGGATTTTTGTTGTATTATTTAAGAAGCACCTGGACCAATAGTGAAGATCAACCAAACAGCTAGGGAACTCAGCCACAGAGATGACTCTATGGGAAGTTTACACAAACCCATAGACAAGGACAAAATGAGCCTCTGAGAAGACAAAGCACTGTGTTTTCAGAAAAAATTAAACATAACTGGTTTTAAAGTATAATTCAGAACTATTATTCCACCAAGAATGGAATGCCTTTTATACATATTACCATTATTTAGAGAACCTAAAATCTCAAATTACAAACAAAACCCCTACAATATGGCATAGTGGCATAGTTCCCAGTGAAATAAATCTGACTTTGAATCCTGTATGCCCCAAACTTGTTTCTTCTTTATAGGCTTAAATTGAGTCAGTTAAAATGAATAATCACAAAAACAACTATAAACTGGACATGGTGGTGTGCCCTGGTTGCCTCTGCAATCAAGAGGCTGAGGTGGGGAACTGCTTAAGCCAATGAATTTAAGACCAGTTTGGGCAACATGGTGAGATCCTGTCTTAAAATAACATTTTTTAAAAGCAACTGTAACTATCATCCTTGTCAAGATCACTAGTACAATTTACAGAGCTGGATACTGTATTAAACATTCTGCCTATGAACTCTTGACTCAAATGGGTATTGGATGACTTACCCATAGTGTTGTCACAAAGAGTAATGATAACATCTGTAATAATAAAGTGGCATGGCTGCATCAGTGTAGATGCTAGAGACACGATGACTACTATTGGCATCTATTTATCTTGAACTCATATAAGAGGCCCTAAGAAATTAAACTATCCCCTTTGTTATACATGAAGTAAGTAGAAAACTTATACCTGTTTGATCTCAGAATTTTACCACTTTTCAGAATACTTCATGGTCTCTAGAGAAACAAAGTTGGGAAGAAATTTTCTGTCCACAGTCGGTGAGCAAAGTACCCACTTCAAATGAGAAAAGCAAGTTTGTTACCAAGTCATTCAATGGGAATCACAGATGACTTTTTCTACCCTCACCTAAAATTCAGCATGTGTACACTTTGGGAGAGGGGATGAGGGAAGCAAGCTATCCAGACCATATGTCAGTGGCCATCTTTAGAAAGAACGACCTCTGCATCAGCTCTTTTAGTGAACTTTCAAATCAAAGTCCTCCAATTTGCTAGGATCACAAAAAGTTTTATAAAGTTATTCACTTGATTCTGCCCTCCTAGGATATCTGTAAATTTTTACAGTATTAATCAGTGCCTGGAGAATTAAGTGACAGTTGGGTAAGGAAACCAATTGATTCCTCAGCTAAATGCTTACGTAGGAAGACTTGTTTAGTCCATAAAAATGTGGGGGCAAAAGAGTGAAATGGAATAAAATTTGAATAAAAGGAACCAAATATAAAGTGCCTGTCATGTGTTTTATTACATTAAACTATTTGGTAAATGCCCACTGACACTTGGCAGTTTGAACTCCTTGGTTGCAAAGGTGTGGGGCAGAAACAGACTACCCTGTCGTGAACTCAACTGGCCTCAAGAAGATTTTACAAAGTTCAAGCCCTGATCCACGTGGCCAGTTTCATTACCCAGTCATCCAAAAGAGACAAGAACAGCTTTCTAA